CATTGTAGCTAACGAGTTCCCTTTTATTTAACAAATCTTACGCGGCCAGAAAAAACAAGCGCGCGCGGAAAAATGGTCTTTCCATTTGCTCACGTCAGCAGCGTACACCCATGCCGGGGCAAATGAGGGACACTGAATTGACCAATCAGAGCACGCGCTTTACGTTGGTTATGTTATGAATGCATTTAAGGCTGTTTATCGTGAGAGATACTTCTGTAATACCTAATAAACAACAAAGCTGATCAGTTTGCGGTATGATAGTGCACCCGAAAAAAACTTTTGTTTTTCAACATTTTATGTTCGGTATGAATCGAAATAAAAAGTGTTCTGCTTTGACATTCTTGACAGATAAGCGCATGTCGCCAAAACATGATCATGATCACATATACTTGACTCTTCGTGTACCTCAGCATATATCTTTAAATGTAGCCTCTTTAGAGTAATTTAGCCCGCTCTCAACCGCTGACGTTATTGATTTGTTTTGAAGCGTTCCAAACGTCGAAATCATCGAATCATACTTTTGCGAACTGAGAGGGTTTTTTTGTCATGTCTTTCAAAAAAAGGCTTACTTAGAAATTTTCTTGCTGAACTATATACTACGCCTACCATTTTATTTGCGAGGGAAGAAATATTTCGAAATAGTTTTTATTTTCAAAGCTGTAAAATGCTTAACTGTTGATGATTTTATGCCGGCGCAGTTGCGTGGGAAGTAGGCGACGCCCAACATTACAAGCCTCTCCCATCCTGTTACTTTTTGTTCCATGAATAAACACCTGTATTTAGCGGAGGAATGAATGAATGAATGAATGAGTCACCCGAGTGGGCGTTATTTTTTTAGTCTAGCCGTTTGTAAGATGGAACCTATCTCCTTGGACGAATTTCTCCGTAAACATCAATACTGAATGAAGTCGATAAATACGAAACGAAAAAAAGTATTAACGTTAGCCAATACGCGGTGTAGCCTACGAGCCGAAAGAAAAGGTCAGTTGAGAACAGAAATTTCAGTAACGGTTATTTCACTCAAATACGTTTTTGTCGTTTTTAAAGTTCGGTTTCAGAGTTTGCGTCGTCTTCTGTTGTGGTCAAATTTTAGAGTGTGACTGTGTAATGTAAACGGATGCTCTTAAGAATCACTCCAGTGCGACGCTAGGAAAAAAACAGTAATATCCCGATTTCAGAATGACAAGAAGTCGAGAGTCAAATCTCCGGGCAATATTAGCTTGTCTGTGGTGAAAACCCAGGATTGAGAGCTCTGGGAAATTACTTTCATGTGACGAGAAAAACGAGAAAAAATGTTCGAATTCCAGTTATAGAAGCTCCATCGTTTCGTCAGTATCGACGTATGTCTATTAACCTAAGAAAACGTACACAAGTTTTTTTTTCTTTTCAGGCGTACCTGTACGACATTCGAGGGAACACATTTTGTCATCGGCTCACTGGGCATACGGACGTGGTGTCGGAAGTAGCTTTTCATCCTGCGCAACCTCAGGTGTTAAGGCCGGGAGCTCTCTTCTCTAAGATATGTGATCGACACTTTTTGTATGTCTGACATATCTGTGAGCCTTCATTGCACACTGATTTGGCTTTTTAATTCGAGAGAAGGGAAGGTCTAGACGCTTTTGAAAGCGGCTGTGATTTTTATTATCTATTGGGTTTAGATCGCATCCGCATCCGATTTCGATGTTTTGTAGCAGGGTCAGTTTTAGAGAAAAGTTGGAGATGTCAAATAACCGTAAACTAGTAATATTTGAAAACAAAGGTACATCCCGTTTATAGCTCGGAATCAATTACCAGCCAATACCGCCCCCCCTCTTAAGAACCGAGTAAAGGAGGCAAAGAAATAATATGAGTCAAAACATCAGCCCACATTTCATTCCGCTGGCTGCCTCAACCCAATCTTTGATTGATCCGCTGTTGGGGGAAACTAAAAAAAGTAATTTTGCTTTCTATGTTTGTAGCCCTTCTTATTAGTCATTGTTAATCTAGCGTCAGGTAAAGTCCTGTAAATAAGCAAGCGGTTCATTGACTCGTGTAATATTGTTCATTACAGCTTGTTACGGCTTCCCTGGACGGACGGTTACGGTTTTACTCCGGATCACGGAAACAGGTTTGAGGTAAGTGTGGCAATGTTTATGGGTAACGAGCGTAGGTGAAAATAGCAGGATTTGTCGAGAAAAGGAAGATCAAATCTGAGTTTTGATTCGCTTATATGATTTAATGTCGTAATGTCGAAAGACTTTCAAGATCCGTTTCAACAGTCCTTCAGGTCTGAAACCTACTTTCCGAAGAAAAATAGTTTTTGTTTTGAAAACTGACGTATTAACCTTAGCTCATATTAAATCGAATACAAAAAAAAATCCAGTCCTTTAAAATTTAGCTCGACATATATTTTGAAGATTGGTGTCTTTTTCACTATCAGTTGTTGTAACAAATCTTTGCGAGATGAAGAAAACTTCTGCTGGGAAAAATTTTTCGCGATTTCCGTTTATATGTTGAGTTACAGCAGACTCTGCATGCTAGAAAAATTTTTCTGAATATCAATTTATGTTAAGAAGTATCCCGTACTGCCCAAAGACCTGACACAACAATAGAGTGATTTTATAGTACTGAAAGTGTTTAAATTTTTGGGCCACCTTATACTTCACGATTGTTATTTTCCTGCGGAAACTTATTTCCGCGATCGTGGAAAATCCGTCAAATGCACCAAATCCACGTAAACTGTATCATGCAGAATTTTCTTGCCACTTGTTTTGCAGTCTTGTAGGGAGCTCGTGGGACGTGGTCATAATTTTCCTCTTGTCAAATCAAATAGACGTGCACACCCTCACTTCTCGAGATCGGTTAAGGCTTGTTTGCTTTGCCACGTCACGTCTCCCAAAGTTTATCATCTAGCGCAGATTTGTTTTGTTATCTCAAAAATATTAGATATGGAAAAGATGGCGGTTTAATATTCTGTTATACCACTTGAAGACCATTGCTACATGGATCGAGTAGGCTAAAAGAGAAAACCCACATTTCAAAGTAACGGAACTGGTGGGCTATTCGATCGCCTTCTTCCAGCTCACTTTGAAATCTGCGGGCTTGTTTTCGATTAATTTTAACCTTATAAGCAATACATGGTTAAATATCCTGCTATACAAAATTTCATGTCCAAACTTCGTAATCTGTGAAATGTTTCTGTGGCTTAAGCAATATTTACTTGTGTCTCGGATCGATCTCGATCTGGATAGCTACAATTCTGCTTTTGTTTTATTTCCGGTCGTGGAGATTCGTTTGCTTATCCACTGGACTGTTTTTTTCTTGCACTGTTTCGTTAAGACTGGTTATAACGGTGAGGGTCTTCAACTTTATTTTTCCCGGATTGTTTTCCATAAATTTTCATTGCGAAAGCGAAAGTGTGATTTGCACTAATTAAAGGAGGAAGTTGAAATCATTGTTGACGTTACATTCCCCCAAATATGGCATACCTGTGAATGATACCTGTCATTATTGCCCAAAAAAGGCGTGTGACGTCAGCGGCCTCGATGCTTGAACTTGGGGAAGGAAGGGAAAAAAAAGTCAGGCAATACTGGCCGGTCAATGTATCTCTCGCGAATACCGTTTTATCCTCTTTTATTGTTTGTTAAAGATAGTGCTTGAGCCGTTTCGGAATTTTCTCGCGAGCTTTTATACTAGCGTGACATTCAGCATATCAGTATCTGCAAGAAAACGGACTAAAATCTGCGAAATCCCCGTTGACAGTCGGTAAGTTGTCAACTGATTAGAGCACTACTTCATCTACCTGCTGAACTTCGACAATGTTGCCACCTCGGACTGCGACGATTTAGTTTCCGACTTTTTATGGAGCGAACAATCTTCCGGACACTCGTGCAAACTTATATTTTGTCCATGCCCTTATCAGTCCGTTTTGAATTTCGCAACTTTGATTAGGAACGGATTTATGCAAGACCAGCGGCTTTTTTGTGCGTACGATTGCGTTTTACAGTTTACCGTATTGCAGCCATACGAGAATGTCAAACAAACACCCCGTGTTAGTTGTTGCTCACCTTAATCATTTTCTCTTCTTTTAGGATGATAACAGAACGTGTACACGGAGTTAAACGCAAGCTTACCGAAGTTGACGGCGATGATGAGGTGCATGGCCGCAGTCTTCAACGACAAACAGTGTTCAATATTTCGATCTGCAAGTTGCAGAAAAGATTCACACGGCCAGAGCCCATCCTCTTCAAAACCGTTCTTATCTCTAATACGCTTCGTCTCATCGAAGAAGACATCAGAGAAGAGCGGAGGAGTTTAGAAACAAATGATTTGAACGGACCTAGCGACGAGAAAACGTTCGCTCGAGTAGTCAACATGCACGAACCAACGAATCGCCCTGGTCTAAATATCGGCACGCGATCACGCGACGCCTGTGAAACTTCGAAAAGTTCTCTAACTTTTGAACAAGAACTAAATATTCTGGGCGACAAAATGGTTAAAGAACTTGAGCTGGACAGGGAAAATTCTAAACTACTCGAAGAAAAATCAGAACTACTCACTCAAAACCCTTTAACGCGCTCTGCTGCCGATTCGAACAACAATACCCCGGGGTTCGAGGAACGTGAGAGAGCGGTCACCTCCAACTCGGAAGAAATCATTCGAGAATTCACTTGCGGTAGTCTACTGGGACTGGAATTAACCGAAGAACTGGAGTTTAAGGACGTTGACGTTTCGCTCTATGACTTCGACGTTCCAAACGGATCGTTCCCGATTGATTTTGACGAGTTTTGCAGCGTGTGGAACCTTGGATCAACCAGTGTGGCAGCGCGGAGTTTGCCCAGTAGATGTAGTGACAGCGTTAAGCTTGAGCGAGCAAACGAACATAATTTTGACGATCTAGACCAAGTTATGCAAATTTTAGTGGGATCTTAAATAGCTATAATTTTTACAGCGCCCAAAACGTGAATGCTGTTTATTTCAATTCGTTGCAAATTTAAGTCTAATGGATAGAATCTATTCAGAGAAAAGAAAGTAAAGAAATTTTCTCAAAAGTTGTATAAGTTTCAGCTTGTGGGCATTAGGTTATTTATAGTCGGCACTGCCGATAGAATCCACAACTTTTTATATGCAATGCAAAATGAATATTTTATGTGAATTTGGACATGTATTTGAAGTCGTAAGAAGAGAGTATTTTTTCAGCATATTTGTAGGTAATTTATACTGTATTATATGACATGAAATATGTACTTTTCGTCAAGCTAAGCTTTGTAAGTTTTGCGAGCCTTTAAGGTGTAGTCTACAGCTAAATAACTACTTGTTATCCATACGGGGAAGTTATCAGTTAAAGAATATTTTATGAATTGAATAGTTATGGAAGCTGCATGCTAGACCGCTTAATGAACATAGTAAATCATGTGACCTTTTCATCTTCTTGATGTTTTGTTAAGTTATGATTTTTGCATATGACAATTGCTAGAGAAATGGCTTAAATGACTCTGAACTAGATTAGTTTGTTACAATAATTTTATTCTACACATTGATTTAATTCATTTTAATGAATAAGAAATTGTTCAATAAATTTTAACTTGTTGAACAGTTGAAGCTTTGATGGCATCTAAAGATCATTCTCATGTAAAGTAAACCCCGTGAATGAAGAGATCAAGCCAGTACAGAAAGGATAAACATTGCAAACAATTTTTAAAAATAAATTAAGAGGTTTCCTTGGACTCATGGTCACCTGCATGAAGACAAGTCTTTAAAAGGTGCAGGACTTTGAGTGGGTGTCAGAGTCAACTGCTTTTAATGCTGACTTGAGGCAAATTCCCTTCAGGTTCACATCACCTAGAGTTTATTGTCATTAACACACACGTCTGTCCAACTAAAACCAGCAACAATGACAATTGTGGTTTTGTAAGATCCACCCTGGGTTGATATTGAAAAAGTGGTTTACATTTGATCTTTGTCTTTTTGCCCTTATCTAACCTTAAAGTAATGACCCGCTCTTTTGAATAATATCTTTGGGTAGATACATACATTACTTGACCACTCCCCATAGGGGCTTTTCAGGGCCAGTTCCCACCCCAGGAGAGGACATCCACTACACAGTAATCTCGTGCGTGGGAAATTAACATCTCCTACCCCTGACCCTGCAGGAGACAGGGCCCACAGTTTATTCATCCTTATCCGAGAAGACTAGAATATCTATCCATTTTTTGATTATAGAAAGGTAGCAAATTCTCCTTACTTATTTTAAGACCATGAGTATTGGTCTGGCCAGGGCTTGAACCATCAACCTCCCACACAACACAATGCGGCGCTCTAACCAATTGAGCTAGCTGGGATGTTTCCCTCAAGTCTCCCTCAAAATTTAGCATTATTTCAACCTGTACCATTTTCATACAATGGTTTGCACAAGACTCATACAGAGCAAAATCATGCAGACTACCCTCCCATCTAAATAATGTTGACACATCAAATATTCCAAAATGTCCATCCCCTTGGGGACAATATGTATATCATTGGGCAAAGTGGTGCAATCTAAGGCATGAACACTTGAGTAAGACAGGGAAAAAAGTTGTCCAGTAATTGTTGGACTCTGCTGTGTTACTTCCTAAGCCTAATTCTCAGATAAAAAGAGATTGCTAAAGCACCTCAGACAAACTTGATCAAGGTGATGAAAGGGTGGCACCAATGCAGAGGTGACTGTCATTGTAAATATGATTTTTGCATAAAATCGCTTCAACCAAGGTGGGGGAAACTGTTAAACAGTGTGGAGTGTTCTCCAGGATTGCATTATTAATGTTGGTTTCCTGTGCTCTGTAATTAGTCTAAAAATTTAATCTTTTCAACCACTTGGTTGCTAAATGGGACATTATCATAACTTGGTCTGTTGAAGTTTCCCATGCTTAGGCTTGTGTTCACAGTTAATTCTCCCCAGCACTTCATTTAGTATTTTACATAGTTTGTTCCAGTTTGTCTGGAGGTGATCAACTGGGTCTGGTTTCACAAATCTCAATTATTCAATCAAAAGGGCTCCAGATTAAAAAAAATACATCCACATACAAGTATTCTCTTTGTTCCATATGGAACAGGAGATATTTGAACAAGCTTTACCTCTGGATTGTATGCTTTAAAAGATATCCTCTAATGAAATATGTGACCGTTTTATTAAGTTCACAATTTTCATACAGTAGATTTTTCTGAAAAATTTTTACGTAAGAAGTGGTATAAATGTTTAAAATAGTTTAATATATAAAGAGCTGAGCCATTTTGCACTCTAAACATCATCAACAATTAACTTACAGTGGAATTAAATTTAGCTGTGTGGATAAGCTGGTTACTAGTAATCAAATTATCATAGTATAAAGTTAATCTAATAATTGCTATTGTAAAGGTGGAAATTTAACAAAATGATTAAGTGTTGACTGAACTACATTTTCTAACTTTCATTTTCAATTACATGAGAACACTGCAGTTCAAGCTACATGAACAAACACAAAATAGATAATTTTGCATTACATATCAAATTTAAAGGATAGAGAGACTTAGCACTGCATTTAAGTGAAACGTGAATGGCATGTGACCACATGACCATGCTTTCCCCACCATTTTCCACGTTGGCCAGTTGCACTTTAAATACTGTTTCTACATGGAAGTAACCTGTTTTGCATTTGCTGAGTATGTAAGATTTTCTCCACTTTTTCTGTCACAGAGTAGAAGTTAATTGCTGGAAAAAGTGCATCAAAACTGTTCCCTTAGGTCATACAAGGGCACCTTCAAATATACCATGACATGAGTTCACACAAAGCTAAAGCAGTACAGTTGCTGCTGCTTTATGTGAAGCGTGAGGGAAAGCTGACATTTGCCATTTCACATAAATGCAGTGCTGATCTCTCCATTATCACCTTGCATGTCTTCAGAAAGATCATTTCAAGAGATCTGAAACGTGACTGCAAAGTGCACCTTAAACCTACACAGTTCTCATGTGATCAAAATTAGGAATAGGTATTGACTACATTAAGTAAAAATTGGCATTACACGAACCAAAACTTCAGCTCTCTGGAAATGAAAGCCAAAAATCAGGAACCTCTTTTCTAGACACACTTAGAAATAAAAAAAAACACTGCAGTAAACTAAGGTAAAAGAACATCACATATTAAGTACTAGGAAAACAATTAACTGTTGACCAAAACTTTTTCAGCAAGATTATAACATACTAACCCAGACTACAAAGCTTTGATTTAGATTCTCAGCCCAAAAAACTTTCCTGGTAGCAAAATGATAAAATTGTTTAAGTGTTATGAAACATTAAGTGTTGTAACATAAAACAAACTGTGAAACATATAACATGGACATAAATAATTTTTTTCTTTTAAAAATAATGGCTTTTTCCCACCAAGTCATTGCTGATAACATAGAACAAGAAAAGAATTAAATTAACTGAATGCTGATCCCATAATTCTTGTATTAAAAAAAAAAAATTTATCTTTCTCTTGCATTGCAATGTGAAAGATGCACAATCCATAACTTAACTTATCAAGAGGACCTCAACATGATTATAAATTACTAAATTAAATGCGTCTAAATATGATAGATCAAGTTGTTAGATTCCGATAAAACAACTCTTACAAATAATACAAACTATACAATTTGAAAGTTCAGACCACTACCATACATTAAACATACATTCATATGTATACAACTGTACATGTACACCCTTTTAATTCACTAAGAAGCAATGCATTTTTATATTATATCTTTCAGTTGCTCTAGAATGATCTAACAGTCACTTCTCCCCCGACTCTTAAATACCCCTTTAGTAAGTCATTTTAAATTTGATTTTTATCTTTTTTGTTGCAGTACATTACTGTATGACAGTAAACCTGGAAAGTGTAGAAGTATGTGGTGTTCTAAGCAGTTCTTAAAAACCAATTTGAAAACTTAAAACAGAAAAAAGAAACATTTTGATTGAGAACCACACCAGCCTATTGTTACCATAAATTTGCCTTTCCCTAGTGAGGCATGTATATGTTCTTTGACAAAAAATTAAAACAATAATTTTTAATCCTTAGTCCATTCAAACCCAAGTAAAGACACCCTTGCATTTTATCAAAATCCAGTTACACAAAAGGAGGAGGAAACTACTTAAGAAATATATATATTGGCATTCAAAGATGTTGTTTTAAAACATCTTCACTAATTAGATTTGAATTGCCATCTTTAGTTTCACACAACCGCGTGTAACTGAAGAAACAAACATGATTACACCGCTCTTGATGACATTCCGAGAAAACAACGTCATGACAATAAAGCCACTTTCAACAACAATCCCCCCTACAAAACGTTTAGGGATTTTAAATATGATTTAAAATCGATCGAGTGTGGATTTTACCAATGCAGAGAAAACTCTATCCATAGCTACATATGTGTAGAATTACTTAACATTACCTAAAAAGGACCTGCATACAAAAGAATATACTGTTTTCCAGTGCTGCCAGTGTCTACAGACGTGTAAAACGGCCTTCTAATGGTAAACATACTGCTAAAAAATCTCGATTGTCCTTTTGAATTTGACAAATGTAAGGGCAGTTGCACGTGCTGCTTTTGTTCGCACTGCAGCAGAAACAGTTCACTCTCAATCGATAATAGATTACTGAGCCATTACTGAGTAAATGGGAATGAATTAATGGCTTTGAAGTTTTGATCTTTCTTTAATTTACATTATTGGCATAGTTTCAGACTCAATGAAGGTTGTGACCTCACATAAAAGAATGAAATGCTGCAGCTATTTCCACGAAGAAAACTATTTCCTTCCATGTTTTTTGTTTATACACAGCGAGAACGAAAAACACTGATTTCCTCTCCATGTTTAGAGATAAACCCCCTTCCAAAGTTAGTTAGTCGTTCATTACCAAAGTAAAGTTAAATCTTTAGCTGCATCGTCTCAAACAAAGAACTACGTTTAAACAAGATCTCTATGTTACAAGGATATATAAATTGTGATTTTGTACAAAAACGTACAGCACAAATATCTGTGGCTTCATAACTTTCTAATGGCTGGTTTGATTAAGTTAATTTTTCCATTTTATACATAAAATATCTCCTTATTCGATCGACAATCTTTGATATCTTATGCACTCGACATAATCTGCTCTTTGTACAATACGTATATATAAATATATGTTGACCTTGAAGGATCTATAAATTAAAATAACTCCAAGGTGCGATAAACAGAAGTTTTACAAACATTTGTAATTTCCAAAGTATCTAACCATTTCAGACTCACGTCTCCAAGGCACATATGTAGCTATGAAAAACACTGTCCAGCTCGCCAAACAAGGATTCTCTATCGCAAGCAATTTCTTCGGCATCTTCGAACACATCGTCGTCTACATCCTCCGGGAAAGAGTCAGAAATTGTACAACTGTTACGCAAGTTGTCACTCGCCATTAAAGAAGAGTTTTCAACACAATTCGTCCTGGAATCGTCCGTCGCCACGTTGTTGTCAAAACTTAATCTTATCACTTTAGGATGTGGCGGTGAAGAATCCTCTCTCGCGGTCGTCTCCGCTGGATGAAGAGTTATCACACTGCCGCAAACCAACGGGTTTTCCTCGGCGTAAATTTGCTTGTGAAGCATCTTCAAGGTATTGTTTATTAAAACTGTACGCCTGAGACAAGCTTCAGGATCTTCCAATCGACGTAACTTTTCAAAAGTGACTTGTAATATAAAGCGACGTTGATCAACAAGTGATACAACAGGACTTTCGCTTTCTACAACAACTTTGTTGGACTCTTTTCTTTTGATTCCTCTTTCTTTGATCCGATAAATATCTGTGAAACGGGAGATGAATAAGTAAATAGGTCAGGGCACAAATATTAAGTGCTTTTTAAATAGACCAAGACCTTTTCAAGGCCGAACTTTGCAAAATTAAACAAGAGAACACAAAAGAATCGTCCTTAATTCAAACAAATCAGGCAGGGTGATCGCTGCATACGAATTAGGGATGAATGTATGCAGTCAACCTTTAGCTGCACTTTTCATACGTAATAAGGTTTTGTTGTAAGATTCAAAAGAAAACGGGAATTCAATTAGATGTATGAGAATTGTCTTACCTTCCTCCCCTGGGTTAGTACAAAGGAAATTAAGTTCTTCGGATTGAGTTTCCCATTCTTCAGACAGCAATGTTTCGTCTTCATCCAAACATTGATCTTCCATCGTAAACGACCACAAATTTGTCATGGGAATTACAAGGGTCATTCCACATCGCCTAAATCAGAACTAAAATTGTACAAGAGAATTTATTAGTCGACAGTAAATATAGACATGATGAACCATAAACTTAACGCCGCTTTCATGAAAAGTTAAAAAAAAATTGTTACTCGCACTGTCATTGTCAGCGACGGCAAAAGGCGAAGGAAAAATATTGACACCGCATTCTCAAATTGGTTTATCGGCGCCGCATCACAAACATACCTACACTAACAAATACGAGAGTAAATAGGCTAAGAGATTCCGCAGTTGAATGAACAAACTTCCTCGGTTACTATTAAACTGATGAAGCTACATCCTTTCCACTTTGTTGTCCTCAAAACACTAATCAAAACCATCAAAATCATTAAAAATGAAAGTTGCTTTCGCGTGCCATTATTCCAACCCATTAAAGCTTTTCTACGCTTCACAAATTACCAAGCATCATCAGTCGTACAAAAAAATATATCAAAGCCGTAAGACCTTCATTGAAGATAAAGAGGAACTAATCTGGATGTTTTTTCACCAAGCAGCGGCAGATGTCTCAAAGGAAAACTTCTCTATGCTCTGTTTCACACACAGCCTCGCACCACCACCCTTGTCATAAATCGACACTTGATTGGCTTTCGCTGTATTGAGCGGGCTTCTCTATTGTTTTTAGTGTCAAGAGCTTGTCAACACACCTGTCGCTGTTTGTCAAAACGAGCCAATCAGAAGTGTTGGATTCCAGAGGCATAGTTGCTTGAATAATAATTGTCGCTTTTGCGATTTTACCCGTTTTACGATCGGTTCATCCTAAATATTTTATGCAATGGTTGTAAGCACGCATCATTTATTTAAATGAAACTCATGTGAGCATTGATCTTTTTCACTCCATGTTTTTGTTACATAATTAGGTCATTAAAGACTTCCACTCTTCGATAAGAAATCGCGCGGGTGTATTTTGATTTGAGTTTGATGAGACATAGAATTAATATAAATATCTCTTCTTTCCAGACAGCGTAAGTGTTAGTAAATTTACTGCTACTCCGCAGGACGACCTGCATTTAGTAGATCTCTACACATTTTTTTAAGATTTAGAACAAACTAGGAAAAAAGTCCAACTTGCGTTCGTCTCACTAGGAAAAGATATACAGCTAACATCAGCGATCTAGCGATTTTCTCCGTAAATATTTTATTCAGTAGAAATAACCATTACTCAGCGATATTGAAGAAAGTTTTCCCAATTAATTCAGTAAAGAAACTGGTTAAAAATTACGACGAAAATGTGA